ACAAAGTTTTGCCAATAATTTTCAGTATTAGGCTCAAACACGTTGAATTAATTCTGCACATATAACCATTTATCTATATAAAGAGAGATCAAGAAAGTGTGCATGGTTCTGATTCAGGTTGGGAGCTTGAGGGGAGATTAGACCTTCCCCCCTCCCCCTTTATTTCTCAAAATTCTACCCTTCACCTCCACGCCCAGACATACAAGAGCTCTCAAAAAGCAAAAAAAGCTTCTGCTGGAAGTTCTTTTTCTTTTGTTAACTTCCCCAACCATCATAAGAAGGGGGGAAATTCAGAAAGAAAATGATGAAGAGGAGGAGGTTTCCTCTAACTCTCCTGCAGTGTGATGGTCCCGATCTATATCAGGGCTGTGTGAAATTGCATTTGTGTAAATACAAAAGACTAGGTTCAGCTACATGCTGTGCAATTAATGGAATGTGTAGTTTGATCCCTAGAATCTTCCAGTGGAATAGTGCTGAGGGGCAGGTACAGGAGCTACAGAGAAGCAGGGAACAAGTGCTGCTACAGTTCTGCATGGAAACTGGGATTCTCAGATCACAGCTGTAGCGAGATTTATGAATACCATCTGACCTCTGGGACATATCAACAAAGCAGGAGCACAAGCCGTTCATATGTCTTACCTCTCAGCTTTCCTGATATATAAATCTATCTGTAAAGCTTTAAAAAACAAACTTCTGCTTCCCACAGATATCCAGTCCTACATGAGTACCTTATGCACATGAGCAGACACAACAAGCTATGGGTTATCTGAAGGTTGTCTTATCTTCAAACTGTTCCTGCTGCCTGGGTTCATATGACATGACATGACAAGCCAGAGTAAGCCAGGCACTACTAAAAAAAATGCTGTCCACTTGCACCCCTTGATGAGCTATTGTGTTGTGCAAACCAGATTATTATATTCAAATCCATTCAACAACAAAACCTGCCAAAATACATTTGCTACATCAGCTGCAAACTCTTGTCTACCTCTTCATAGCCACAGTTCTGTTCAGAAAAAACTAACACTCCAGTGTTTCATATCACATGGAAATAAATTGGTCTGACATCATCCCAACTTCTTTCAGTTTCAACATACTTAGGAATATAGCCTAAATCATCATATAGCAACACTTTTAGGATAGACTACATTAAATTTAATTAAATATTGATATTGGGAAAGTCACACACAAGAATCAAAGTGGAGCATTAATGTTGTATAAGTAGAATAACGAGAAAATGGTCACACTTCGGTTCTGCATCTCAGGCCAAACTAAGGATAAGACAGGGCCTCTTATTTGCATTCTGTTGATATCCATGTGTTTGGCCCATTTATGTAAAGTGGGATGGACGGAGCCTATTCTTTACAGGAACTGCTCTTATGCAAATCTGTGATGTGACTACACTTTGAGTGCTGTATACAGTTCTGATCACTACACCACAAAGGGATATTGTAAAGCTGGAAGAGGTACAGAGGCAGTCAATTAAAATGATCAAGGGGTGGGGGCAACTCCCCTATGAGGAAAGGTTATGACATCTGGGACCGTTTAGCTTAAAAGATGAATGTGGGTGGTGGGGGGGATTCAAGATGATCTGAAGAATTAACTAATAGAATGTTCCAGAATTTAACCAGGCATGTCTTGTATCTAAAGTATGTTGCTATATGTCCAGGAACAAGCATAAATGAATCTAGCAACTGCAGTACAATACTACATCTTTTTTTTCATAGCCTAGATGTGTTTTTGAAAAAGTTAAGAAGGCAAAACCAGAGGATCTTTAACATTGATAAAGGATGATATTTCTTGGGTAACAATTTTAAATAATAACGACAATGACATATTTGCGCTCTGCAACATGTCAACCACACAAGGGAAAAAAACCTGCTTGATCTTTAAAACCATACCAACAGTTACTATCTGCAATTTGATCTTGTATCCTTTATTAGATCTTGTCTAATGTCAATAGTGTTAAATGGCATTACATTGATATTAAAATTTGTCCTTTAACATATATGATCCACACAAAGTGTTAATCTGTAAGAGCTGGAGAAAGGGAGAACTTCAGCTCTGTTTGGTATGTGAACATGAACATAGGAAACTCAGGCATCCTATGAAAGCTCAGGTTATTTCTCCAGTACTGTTCATACTATGTGGCAGTGGCATCTGAAGCTCTCAGAAGGAGATCATTCTTTGTGCTGTGAAGATCATCTTAACTAGGGATGCCATAGTTCAGGGTGGGGAACTCCCAGCCCTTGGGCTAAGCCCAGCCCAAGAAGATTTCCTCCAGTGCCCTACTCCTTGTCCAGACCCTACTTTCTCTCCCAGCACTAGACAAAGGCTGCTCCGGGAGAGGAAACAGCACTCATCTCTAATGATTGACTTGAGAGGACAGCAGGGTTTCTCAGTGCTAGAAAAGAGGTCACTGGAAGAGGACACTCTGCTATCTATGATCACTGCTGGAAGGTAATGGTGTGGGTTGTACTAGTGTGAAATTCGCAGATTCAGCCTAAGAGTGTTGTGCTTCCTGAAAGGAGCCGGGTTGTGGCTGAGGAGAACCTCTGCTGATTCGAGTCTGAGTATATAGAGAGCACAGCTTGAGAGTGCTCTACTGAAGAGGCTTTATTAAAATAAAACTTAGGTTTGTTTGGAAGGCTGACTCTGGTTGAGTCAGTGAGGTGTAAGGCATCAACTTTGAAAAAAGGGTTTCCTCTCCCAACACAAGAGAAAGGTTGCTTTATCCTGCACTGAAAGGAACTGCAGAAAGAAGCAAGAACAATCCCTCCATGCCAGTCCGTGCATGGCTTTGAGGAGGGCCTTTTTGCTGGGGGTCTTCTCTGTGATGGTATCAAGCCTTGCAGAGGTTAATCTGGGCCTCAACCCCTTTCACAAATTGAACCCAAGATCTTCTACATACTACTCATATGATTTATTATCAAGCGATGGTCCTTCTTCAGCGACCATGGCTTCCCTACCATGTCTAGCCTGACCCTCATTTAGATCAGGCTACAATATATCCTACTGCAACTTATTCCCATAGTGGGAAGTGCTTGTGATGGCCACACTGCCAGTTGACAATGCACCAAGGAAAACATTTTCCACTCTTCTATTTGTGTCAATAGTTGCTCAATCTCTTTTGTCGTGTTGCTGAATATCATGCACATTATAAAAGGCAGCCATTGCTCCTTAAAAATAAGAGACTGTGTGGTCACCGAGCCACCGACGTGGTTTTGCAGTAAAATACAACATAAGGAGAGAACACTCTGATTAAAATATCCTGCTTCCTACACATTTTCACCACAGACTTTTTTTCTTTAGACACACATACATTTCCCAAAACAGCTCTCTTGCTGACAGATAATTTAAAAGAAACCTACACACCTAGGTTTGCCCAGGTTTTACCCAGGAAGTCAAAAACTCTGAGGTTTCATCTTCTATTCAAGCAAACATCTTTAAGGACATTTGTGAAAGAGTGCATCCATAGCACAGGAAACTAATATATGCATGTATGTATGTATGAACAATTCTCTTAGGAAAGAGAGAATGCAGGGCTGTGTACTTTGAAAATATTTTGTACCCCCAAAAGCCAAATGGCTTAATTTTTCCACTGTGTTGGGGAGAGGGAAAATAACTGAAACAATTGCCCTCTCACAGATGATGCTAATCACATGGTTCGGGATATGCACACTTGAAAAGCATCCTTTTTAACCCAGCCCCTAATGTGTTAAGCAACGAGGGCAGGGTGGAAGTGTCAGGTCTGGAGGCTGGCTTGCTCCTCAGACCAATTCAAGGGGCTGAAAGATGCCAAGGGGATCGTGCCTTACCCCACCAAAGGCCTGATCTCCAGTGTCATTAGCCACTCCCCCCCCCACACCACACACCCACACCCACACACCTCTTTCATACAAGGAGAGAGGGACTCCACTGACACTTGGGACAACTGTTCCTCCAAGTGATACCCAACTTGGTTGTCTCTTCAGGAGAGTTGAGGGCTGTCTGAGATGCTCCTCTGTGCAGAGAGAAAATAGAGTCCCACACCTCTCCATGCATAAAGATAGGCATGGAGTCTTCTGGGTGAGGTGATACTATGAAAAGTGAGGGGGTGGCAGACTTCTTTAGTGGCCTGGACTGGGAACCTCCACAATACAAACTTGGTGCATGAGCTAAAGGTTCTCCAATGCTGCTGTAAAAGACATCTGGAGAATGTCTGAATCAAGCCAGTGTTGCTAACCAGGATCAGATTTTTGGCTCTGGAGTAGCTGTTCATTGAAAGTTACTTGTAGTCTCTTGTATGACAGAGTTGGAAAGAAATTGCTTTTTATCTGATGTGACCATGGAGGTGGTGGCCTCCATCTCACATCACTTCCTCCTGCCTTTTAACCCCACCATGCAGGTCATGGACTCACACATGCCCTTGCATGGCACTGAAGACAGCTATTGAAGAACAAATGGCTCCTTGTCACCATTTCCCTGTACCGCAGATTTAAAGATGACTAACAACTGCAGCAGAGAGATCTATGATGGTAGGGAATCATGAAACAATGAAAATTGTTGCAGAGTGAAGTGCTCGTGTTCAGGGTTCCAGTCAAACGGACATGGATTCTTCTACAGTACTCCTTCCCAATCTTTCCTAACCTGGGTTTTGTCTCTCCTGCCCCACAATAGTCTACTAGTATTCCATAGCCACTGAGCATGCTCCATCCTCACTGAACTACTTATTTAGGTCCCCCTCCACTAAGTATATTTCTATCCTAAAGATTATTATGTGTTTAGAAGGTATTTCAAAACCTTCTTTTAACACTTGATTTAACAGCTCACTCTGCTACCAACAGGTTTTCCCCACTTCTTTGAACTGTTGGCCTGTTTTTAATACTGTTAGCCACTTAGAGAGCCCCTAGAGGGCTATTCAGCTGCCTACACATTTGAAAATAAGTAAATACATAAATAAATGTGTTTCCTCAGTTCTTTAATCACCAGACTCTACTGCAATAAACTCAAGAGCAATGTACCTTTCAACTTGAGGTCTACGTTATGCCTCAACCATGGATAGATTCCATAACTTGAAGAATCTTCAGGAATTGGATTATTTTGTATCCATCCTTCACAGGCAAACCGGAAAAAATTATCACAGGGATCCACAGATGTATTTAGCTTGCTTTTGATGGCAGCAGCTGGAAAGATTCACATAATTTTATGAATGCATGGCAGCCATTATTATGAAATTCAAGCCATAATTGGAGCATGTCCAGGTTGCATATGATACAAAGCCACCTCAGGGTGGGTTGTTGGTGCAATTACCAAACCACCCACAACCCCAACATAACCCATGGGTGCTTACTATGGGTTTGATGTGCCTTATAATGTATGCCTTGGTTCACATGACGTGTTCATTTGGCATTCAGTGCTTGACATGTAATTTCTCCATTCTTTGGCAAATAGTGGTTTCCATGGGAAATTTAAGTATGAGAAATGGCATCATGTCTCAATCTAAATTGGAAGCTTTTACCCAAAGCTGTGGGAAGATCTTGTCACATTTTGTCCATGTTTTGTCCAACTAGTTTTACAAAGAGATCTATTGCCATGTGGGCCTCATGGAATTATCTAACAGGCCACTAGGGTAGCCACTCACATATTCCTGAAAGACTGGAATAACTTCCTAAAAATCCTGTTAAAAAAAAGGATTCCAATTTGCATGATATTTGCACGTGCAAATTTGCATATATAAGTGCATATTTAGAGAAGTGCATATTAATTTAAGTAGAAACTGACTTCCCTCCAGATTTTGTTACCCATACTTGCTAGGGCTTATGGGAGTCAAAGCACATCTGGAGGGCTACCGGCTCCCCTCCCAAGGGTTAAATGGATGCTTGTTCAGATAAGCAGAGTTCTAAAATACTTTTAAGGAGGAGGATGCCTTCCAGATTTAGCAGAAATGGCTTCGCTGTATGCATCAGTTTATTAAGGCCATCTGACAGCTGCAAACATAAACATTCCATGTTTCTCCATAACAATGGGCTGTGACTGTAATACAAGAAAGAAAGACAAATCTCTTACCAGCTTCGATGCATTCAGGAGTCAAGCAATACTCTTGCTTCGGGTGAAACTTTATAAGGTCTTGGCTAACTGCAAGACAGAAGAATAACATGCATTGTGTTACCTGACAAATTATTTGCTTGATTCAAGGACATCATAACCTCTGCAGCTATGGAGCTTTTCATAAACACACAGAAATACAAAAAAAGGGTGAGAACTGTCAATTTATATAAACATTTCCAAAATCCATAGTTTGTTTATTTATTTATTTATTTATTAAAACATTTTTATGCCACCCCATTCGCCGAAGCCTCGGGGCGGCTTACAACAATAATAGTTAGTTGACATACACATTTAATAAATATGCTGTCCAATTGTGGATTTTGAAATTTTAATTAGTTATAATTCAATATTTATTCAGCCGGGAGACAGTGATCTAACAGGTTAGCCTGACAGCATGTTGGGTGGCCAGCAAGAAAACAGATAGTATGTGTTACGATGCACACTCTAATTTAAAATCAAGCGCACACATTGTTCACTGTTGAACTTTGAGTGCATAGAAATACCTGAGACTACAAAAGATTCAGAAACAAGGCCCCTGAAAGTAATTATTTGTTGCATTAAAGAATAATTTAAACTGAATTAAAATAAGAAATTGGGGAAATTAGAATTATATATCCAAAGGACATTAACTCTGAGAAGGTTAAAAGCTGACACACACTTAAAAATTAGTAGCTTTTTTTCTTAGAGATAAAGTTTGACAAATATATGGTTGCAGGATTGAAACATTAAAAGGCCTTAGGAGTAGTTAAAAGATTAAGCAAAGTAAACTGGGTGCTCATTTTCCAGATTTTATCTGCTTTAAACAATACATGGAAAATCATTAAAATACTTCCTGTTGTATTTTATTCCTTAATTGTATATAAGCCACCAAGAGAGTCTATGGCTAATTGGGTGACATATAAATCAAATAAATAAATAAACAGGTGCTTCTAAGGTCACCATTCTGCTCTAGCAAGCTATGGCTTGTAAACTACAAACAACCAATGAAGAGACCCCCATGGTTCTGGTGGTGAACTGTGGGTTGTTCACCATGGTTTGTTATATCAGCTGTGTCCAGTCTCTTGCACAGTTTTACTCAAATCAGCATAACTCATATTTTTTAGTGACAACCAACACTCCACCTATACTCAGTCCTTCAGTGTGCAATATTATGCTGCCTGAACCTAGTCATGTGGCCATTTTCACTTTGGACATGTGAGTCTGGAATGCACTAATGAAACTAGTATTCTACCCTTCTTCAGGGCAGAAATACAGTCCAAATTTCAAGCAAAGATCCCTTCTTCCCAAAACAGCAGAAATGTGGGTGACACCTAGATCCCAACAGCACAGGAAGCTGCAAGCAAGGCATTCAACTTCTCAGCGGTAAATACACCACTCATAGCACCAAGCCTTGAAACAGAGTTTGAAGTCAACATCTACGATCAACATGCTACAGGGATAGATGCTCACATTTTCCTGCCATTAGCTTTCTCTTCAACAAAAGTGTGCACAAGCAGAGAAGAACCAGGAAGAAGGAAAAAGACACCTGTGTCTTTAAGTCTTTAAGTGTATTAAGTCATTCTTATAGAACATTTTTGGGGAATTTAGGCAAGGCTAGGAGAGGAGAAGTAGAAATTCAGGAAAGGGTGGTGAGAAATAGACTAGTGTGTTGTAGCCCTCATCAATAGTATACCTTGACAAATAATCAATGCGTCTTTAATACAAAGATTACAATTAGCTAAATGCTTACTGTGTAGCTGCAGTAATGATCCCAATAAAATTAGACAGAAGTGAATGGGTTGAGAGCAGGAAGTCAAGTCAGTTTAATGGAAACAAGTGAGATGCATAGAAATGTTTAATTCAAATTCCTTCAGCAATATGCTGTTATGGGTGCTTCTCCAATATCAGGCATGCTTCATTCAAATGCATCTCCCAAAAGCTTCTCCAAAATTGAATTTGTACCCCTGCGTTATGAGTGACATAAAGCTACACATTGTGCAAATAGCATAGAAATGGTAAATTTCAGGAAAGATGCAATCCTAGAAAACTTCAGACAGAAAAAAAGCCTGAAATTCAGCATGCCCCAGCCAGGACTGTACCATATTTGGCTTCTGAAATGTCCTTGCTTAACTTCTAAGTGTCCTGAAAGAGTATTCTATCTCTCAAGTATGTAATAATGGCAAGGATGAACAAGAGAATTCAAGTATTAGCAGGTAATTTGATACTGAGGCTTTGGGAATGGCCACAATTTTAAATTAAAAACAAATTAGTTTAAGCTGTCACAGCTGGGATTTTGTTTGTTTTGCCATCATTTTGTTAAGCTGAAGAGCAGCCTTTTGAGCAGAAGATTGGGAAAAGAAGCACTTAACCCTTTGCAGAAGATAGTTTTCAATAGTAAATATGCATTTGGAACAGTGCATAGAAAAAAAAAGCAGCTTGGTAAACAAGCCACTGGAAGTTTTCAGCAGGTCCTCATTCATCAGACAAAAAATGCCATCTCCAGAGAATGCATTGATTTTTACAAATGTTTGTTTTAAAAAGTGCAAATGGTATCTAGTTTGTCCCCAATTCATCTATTTCAACCTTTAGTCTATGATTTTAGAAAAGTTAATAAAACGTGTAAATAAAACCAGGAAGTTTTGCATTAATGAAGAAATAACGTGATCCTACAAACAATTATACTTGTGCATGCAAATCATTCTGTTTAAGGAAATGTTATCTCTCTGAAGTAATTTGTATTTGTTGGCAGCGATCAGTTCTCTAAAAAGAAGAGAAGTTGGAACTGTGTGTTCTGAGAATATTTAGGAGTTTATCTAAGGACCTCCACTTAATTTGTATTTATTTTTTATTAATTACATGTATAAATCATACCCTCTGCTTGTCAGGCACCTATAGTAAAAGCATTAGAACTTCACCAGAATATTAAGCATTAAAATCTGGATGGAACAGAACAATTTTCACCTCCCATCTAAACTAAAACAGGGAAGAAGCCAATCTCACACCTCAGGAGAGACCCCACTCAGGGACTGCAGTCAGAAGCCCTGCCTTGAGTACCCACCAAGTTCTCCAGGGGGTGAAACATACAATGGTACCTCTGCTTATTATTATAAATTATAGGCAGCTTGCTATGGAAGGAGGTGGTCCTTCAGGTATCCTAGCTCCAAACTATTTAAGACTTTGTAAGACTAAACCAGGAATTTGGATTTTGCCCTAAATCATGCTGGAAGCAAATGAAGCTTGTCCAAGTTTTTCCAATGTGGTCTACAAAAGTTTGCCACTCCCGACCAAAGTTTGGCATCCATATTTTGCACTAACTATAGCTTTCCAAACACTTTCCACCTCCAGTAAGCTGCAAAAATCCAAATGGAATGTCATTAGGCATGAATCACTGTGGCCACATCTTCCTTCCCCAAGAAAAGGTGCAGATGGCACATTGGGCAAAGACACACCTGGTCACCACCATCACCTGAACTTTCAGGAAAAGTGTTGGTTCCATCCAAGCTGGATAGCTGATCTTTCAGAGGGAGTGGTATCCCATCCAGAGCAGATTTTGAGTTACATTATAACCAAGTCAGCAGTAACTCTCTCTTGGCTAGCCTGAGCTTCAGTTGGTTTACCCTCACCCAGGCCCTGCCTGCATTTTGACATCCACACCATCCTTGGCATAAGTTGAAAAAGAGAGACAGAGTAGGGTATTGTCAGCTTATTAATGAGACCCAACTCCCGAACTCCAAATGCCTTCCTCCTGCAGCCTCATGCAAATGTTAAAGAGCAGAAGAGAAAAAACAGAGTCCAGAGGAATCCCACAGTCCACAAGCTAAGCACTTGAACAATAGTCCCTTGCTCTTGCTTTCTAGGAAAAAATTGATCAAATAATAGGACAAAACCATCACAGAATGACCCAGGCCCACATGTCCTTTATCAGCCACACATCCCTAAAGGGCATCATGTTGATGGATTGAGTGCTGTGAAGTCCAACAACGATACACTTCCCCAGTCTTTTCCTGCATATGTCATTGTCCAAGACAAGCAGGACTGTTTCTTTCTCCAAAATGTACCTAAACCCAAGAAAGGATTCATCTTAGAAAATCTAGAGTTGTCAACACTACTTTCCACCCATGGACTTCATTCGAAAAAGACAGATTTGAACCAAGCCAACAATTATATCAGGTGTTAGAAGCTGATTTCTTTCATGCAAGGAAACCTCAACCCATCCACTTAGGCTTGCTCTAGCAGCTTCTATAAGTCAATATCAGTGTAGGGCTAAAGGTGATGTGATTGGCTTCATCCCTCCAAGCAGCAGCAGGTCAGAACATCAGGTAGTTCAGGCTGACAAAACTGGCCACTTATCTCAACTGTCTCAGTGTGTTTCCAATATGGATTCTCAATCAGAATGGATGAATGACCAGCTAAACCCCTTGCAAATATGTTACCATGCACTTTGCAAGGCTCTTCTTCGTTACCTTGTGCATCAGTGTATAACATTCCCTTAATCCTCTGAAACTGCTCTGCTGGACTACAGTGAGGAACGGAGGGAGAGAAGTAAAATCCCTTTACTGCCCTCACTACCACAGATTATATACTATAATAGCCTGTGCCAGGTTGAATTAAACCTGAATTTTTGTCCTTCCTCTCTAGCTATTTGCTGAGGTGCTCCATTGGCCTCTGAAGCTTTATTGATTCCAGGTGTTGCATATCTGCAGAGGACATTTAGTAGTGGTCTGGGCATGAGCCAGATTTTCTAAAACTGGCCAGGATGCTGCCAGCAATGCTTTGTCCTTTTCCTCTGATCTTTCTCATCAGCAAACATGGGTCATTGGAAATGCACTAAGGTGTTACAGATTCCCCAGAGAGATGTCTGATTTTCAAGGTTGTGGAGGAACAGTGAATAAGAAGTCTGACACTAAAAATGTTCTGCAGAGTATGTGAGTGTGGCAGGGGGAGGAAGGTTCTAGAACAGTACCCTTTCTCTTAGTTCGGTGACTCAGGGAGAACATTCCCAAGCTTCAGATTAGGGGTGGGCAACCAATTGCCCTCAGGTGTTATGCAATGACTAGTCCCCTGAGCCCCAACCAGTTTTCATACAAGCGTGTGGAAGGCAGGGGAATTACTGCATCATTCTAATTCTTTTGGACTACAAGTTGGATCATCCCTATCCAGCTGTGCTGAATAGAGCTGATGTGAATTGACATTCAGTACATTTACAGATAATTCCTGAGAGCTGCTCCAGAAAGGAATTTGGTCCTTGGGATGAAAGGTGTTTCAACTCCACTTTCCTACAAGATGAGCAGAGAACTTGTGGCTCTCCAGATGTTGCTATATTCCAATGCCATCAGCCCTAGCCAGAATGGCCAATGGTCAGAGATAATGGGAGCTGAAAAGCACAGGTTCCTACCCCTGTTTTAAAGGCTAATGGCAAATTCAGGATTGTGCCTTATCTTTCTCCTCTATCATTCTTTGTGGTGGTGGAGGATGCAATAAAATAACTCAACTCTTGGAAGCATATTAAGTTACATAAATAAATATATGAAATTGTGCAAAACAAATCTGCAAAAGATATAGTTTGGCACAACCCTATGCATGTCTTCCCAAAAGTTTTCTAAATTAAGTCCAATGAAGCTTTATCCCAACTAAGTGAATACAAGAGACTATCCTTAGTCTTAATTTAATTTCCTAGGCATGGAATCCAGATCATCTGATGTTAATCCAGAGAAAATAGAATAACATGCTAAGGTGCTCCATTGGGAAGATCCTGCTGTGTTAAGAGGAAAGTAGTACCATCTGTTAAATTTCTTGCAATCTTTGTTTTGTGAACATACAGTAATGATATATTTTCCTAGGCACACAGGAATGGTTTCATTAGTGTTTGGTAATTAGTTTCTTGTCCTGCAAGGCATATCTATGCTACAAAATTGCACTAGGTTTTCTACTATCCTAGCATCCCAAAACCATCATGGAAATACTGCTTTAGTGAAGGTGCTGAGAAGTCTTAACCTGTCATATCTCCACAGTTCCAGGTTTTCTTAAAGAAAATAAATTATTTTGAAACTGGTATAAATCTGTTGATATGGCTGCTATGTTACTACATGCAGCAGTGACATTTAGTAAAGAGAGCTTGGCAATGGACTCTGCAAATATTTCAGCACAAATTATGCTTAATCACATCCATATGTTGAAGAGGAAAATTTTTCTTTTGTCTGTTTCAGCTTTAAAACATTGAATGGAGAAATTCTCCCCACCATCACCAGCCTTCAGTTAAGACACTACAGTTCATCAAGATTGCTTTTAATTGTCCAAAGAAATGTGCATTTGCTCTGTCTAAAACTCCTACAGAACATTGAGTCATCTGTAATTTTGTTGAAAGTCAAATGGAACAAGCACCCATCAAAAGGGTTCAGGTATTTTGAGACAAAAGATAATGACCACATCAGCTTACCTGATTTAGATGCCAAACCAAGGTGGTCCTTTTTTAGATGGAGGAAATTGCCTCTTTTTCCACATTTCTGTTTCTTCTGGTTAATGTTACTACAGATTTAGAATGAAGTGACCAGAGAGGGGATGGTATGTTTTATATTATTTTATATTGTTGGTTCATTTGTGTCATTAGCTGTTACGGATTCTCTTGGAAAAGTTGGTTATAGATAAATGCATTAATAATTTATTGCAGTGTCTCTCCATCTTGTAAAAACAAGAATACTGAGGCTGCAAACCCATCCTCATTTACCTAGGAGTCAATCCCATTAAACCCAATAGGGTTTATTTTGGAATAGCCACACATAGTGAACTTCTGAAAAATCCTAGAACATGGCAGGAAGCTTGGGATCCTTGAACTCTCTAATGTATTCTTTGCATGGATCCTATCCCAACACCTCATTTGTACTGCCCATGTGGGGTCGTGATGATGTGATCAGACCATCAATCAATATACAAGTGGCAATGCCATTCCTGCTAGGCTTTGCAAATGAGTGCAAACATTGAAACTTACCCAGGAAGAGCACAGTGCCAAGCAGGACCGTGCTAGTCACAAACACGCCAAGGGCTATCCGGAGAGGTTTGCTGGCAGCTCTCTTGCTGGCTGGCATTGGGCTTCCTGCTGCCTCAGCTTCCATTGGGATGGCTTTGAAAAGCCCTCTGAAAGAAGTCCGCTTTCCTTTCGGCTTTGTTACTGTTCATTCACAGAGAAGTCCCATCCATGTGCACCCGTTTTGCAATCTTGCTTATTTATTAGACGCAATTTTGCTGTCAGGACCCATTTCCAAGTCCCTTGCTATTCCCAAAATGGAGGTCAGCTTGGGAAACTACATAAGCTGCGGTATTAAGTTTCTTCTCTGACCAGGACTTGGAAAGACACACCGCAACAACTCAATTTATAGCTCTTGCCGTTTGCAAGCAGAGCACTTTTATCAGCAGTTCAGGACATAAACATTTCACAATGTTGCCCAGATGGATTGTTTCAGCAGTCCAAATTCCAGCACTTAAAAAAAATTCTTCCAATCAAAAAGCAAGATATCAGACAAAGTTTTGGCAGCACTACATTGACGGCAGTGTTTCCTTGCACCCCTTCAGTTATCCACAGACCATCAGTCCCTTCTCAGTCTAGCGACACCATTTGTTTTCAGTGAAGAAAGACATCCTCCTCAAGCACAGAATCCTTTTTAAAGCTTTCCAAGGAGTTCTTGGAATATCTTGGAGAGTTTTGGGTGGTTTATATACGACACCAAGTGCCAAACATCAGAGTCATGCTCAAGTGAAAGCAAAACAGTTATTAAAACAACCTACAGAAGGGTTTTGTTTTGTTATTTTTAAAGAGCAAGTTATATTTCAGCATCTGTGGCACTTTTGTAAGCTCTATCCAAACATAGTACATTACACTGAGGATGAAAGCTGGGATGAGCTGTCGTCCCACAGACAGCAAGGATGAGGTGTGTTACAGAACAGTGTCTGTTTCCCAAGCAAGGCCCCAAGCAAACATCCTGCAAATACAGGCATTTCACACTTTCAAAGGTTGAGTTAAGAGAAATAGTTCTCTTAAAATGTGCTGCATTTACTACCTGTATTTAATAATGTTTTGCAGAAACAGGAATGCTTGAAACTGAAACAAAAACTACCCAATATGTTAAATACACGATTGTATGCAACCTGTTTGATTTTAACTGCAGCAGCATTTGTGTGTGTCTGATCAGAAAGTCAGACACTTCCACGCTCTGCGCTGCAGTCTCAATAACCCACCACCACCACTTCAGAGTTGCTTTTTGCAATGGAAGGAAGCAGTTAGTGGTGTGAATAAAGCAATTCCTGGGGCTGCTTTCTGAAGAGGGGTGCTGGTTAAAATTATCTAGAAGGCATACCTTGGAAACTGATCCTAATCTGATTTTTCTGCCTATGAGCAGTACAAAAAGGGGACTTTCAGTAGGGGCTTTCCGAATGGGATGGCGCTTATGCTCAGAAGTAATTTCCATATTATTTTCTGTTTTTATGGATGCACTGTTTTATTATTTCTTGCTAATGTTTTAGTGTCTTAAATTGGTGATTGTATGCATTTATCTATATAAGCCACCTGGGTCCCTTTGAAGAAAAGAGGAGGGATATAAATGTTTTAAATTAACAATAATATATTCCAGGACTGCGCCCTGGCATTTGACAGCAGATTGTAGACCTCAACGTTGGCTCAAAATTACGCCCTGCTCGTGCCAAGATTGGATGCTGCCATCCTTCTCTCCCAGAGTGTTTAGCTGAAAAGGCTGGTTAAAAAACGCACACTCGGAAGAGCTGCCAACCAATTCACTTGCCATGTTTCATTGGCTGAAGTTCTCACAGGGAGCAGCTGACCTTGGATTTCACACCATCTTTAATCCTACTGCAAGAACAATCCTTACTCCGTCTTTCTATCTGTTCCATTCTGCATTTACCAGTGTAAAATGCACCTATGTGTAGCTGTGCTGATTTTAGCCTTTTTAATAGAATTTGCTAGATAAATTGTGCTGCTTTCATGCCTTCCAATAGATCAGCTAATGAATCTCAAGTGTTAAATCAGATAAAAGGTTGTTTCTTTGAGCATCTATGCTCTGCTGTTGAATTGGTTCATACCTGAAAAGAATCTTCAGCAACCCAAGTAATAGTAAGCTTTTCTACACAAAATGTTTATCGTGCACTCCTGTGCATTCCACAGTTGTTTCCATGTTCTTTAGATGACATCATGATTTTTCAGTTTTGCTTTAGTTTTTTTTAAAAACATTTTCCTGGCCAGGGGTGAGGCTTAGAGGGAGAAAAACTGGATTTTATTTCAGAAAGCAAAAGCAAAACCAAAAGTGGTTTCTACTTGTGCATTTGGGCTATTCTGCTATAGCACAATGCCACCTAGAGGTTATGTAGCAAAAAAGCAGTCAAGGTTTAATTGTAGAACTTGGATCGCAATTCTGTGAAAAACTGAAAGTGGATACAGCAATTAACAACCTCATGTAGAAAAGCTCAATGTCATAATGCCATTGATATTTGAATACTAATGTGAGAATTTTGTTTCAGTTTGGTTTGAAAAGAATATTCTAATATTTGCAAAGTTTTCCATATTCAGGACAAATAGAAGTAGATTTTTTAAAATGTAGAAACACTTTATGGTATTCAAAAACATCACTTTTTTCATGATGAGAATCATAAGTTTGAAAGGTACCTTAGATATCATCTAGTCTCTCTCTTTGCTCAATTCAGACTCTGTAGTGCAGGGTGCAGTTGCAGCATCTCTGACATATGGCTATCCAGCCTCTGCTTAAAAACCTGTAGTGAATGAAAAAGCACCACCTCCTGAGACAACGTCCTGGTTCACATTTGACAGTAGCAATTCCTGAGTTCTGTAACCCAGGATTTGCTGGAGAGAAGTGGAGCACATTTGTCATTTCTGATTTCACTTAGCAACCTGGAACTTTCTGTTCCTGAAGTATGCCATGCTATTCAATCTGGAAGCTCTAGCTTATAAACAACACAGAATTAATCCAACAATTGCATGGCTTGTTTCCTGGTTTTCCACATTCAGGTCTCATGAAATGACTCATGGACAGTCCATTGACTGCATTGTGAATTGAAATTGGAAATTATTTGCTTGCTTCATTCATTTCCAGCAAATCCTGCATTTGTCTCTGTCTCATGTAAAATGGATCAATCTATTCTGCTGCTGAGAAGAGTTTTCACTGTTAGGAAACTGTTTATTGAATTTGGCTGTGCATATGGGTGAGAATTGTGTTTTAAGTTCATTTTCAAAGAAACCAAATTAACAATATTCTATCGACTTGAGAAAAAAAGAATTAAAGGATTTGGCATTTTTACAAATCCAATGTGATAAAAAGAAAAGTTCACAGAATTACCCATCCTTATTTCTGAAAACTTGGTACAGCATCCACATTGGCCCAGACCAGACTGTGTTCGACAACAGTCCATGTGAATGCAATTGCATCTTTGGGCACCGTTATTTGATGCAATTAGCCATGCTGTAGTACATTATGTTGCAATCCTATGGCTGCTTTGGCAGAAGAGGGTCCTACAACCTTCATTCCTCAGCAAGCCTGCTGGCTAGAGAACACTGCGAGTTGTAGGACTTTTCTTATACCTAAACATGTATAGGATTGCACCCTAACAGAATATGAAAATTCTAAAACTGCATTTTCTGACATCTTAAAAAAAATTAGGGTGTGAAAGAATCAAATTCCTCAAGAACTCTTGAATACCAAAAGATGTCTTGTGTGTTAAAATCAAAAAGTTCTTATACAGCTTCAGGTTAAGGCTGTGCAATATTTCCAAATTCTTACTGGTAGGTGAAAAAGAAACCCAATATTCCTGGGTACTCTAGTTAATAAAAACTATTGCAAGAATGAAACTGGAATTTTAAAAGTGTTCATTAAATTCAACACACTCTATTGCATAGATATTTGAAACCACCCTGTTATTTTTAATTCTCCAAAAAAATACCAGCACAAAATAACAATTTTATTATGTCACTAACCAGTCTAGGTTAATTTTTACCTTAGGAATCTATTAGCCCAATATATGAAAGCCACAATTTCATTTTGAATTTTAGCAAAATGAAAACTGGTCATATAAACTTTCAGAGCATCAAAATGCAGTCTTACTTCTGGACAACTGGAATGAGAGGATTAGACTTCAGCCTTTCAGCCCATACTATGGTTTCTTGGGCTGACTATGTTCTTGATTTTGTTGATGGTAGTGTTGTTTTAATGTGAGACCTGTTTTCCTGGACAAAAGCAAACAGTAGTTCAGTTGGTGATGAACTTATTACTGCTTTAAAGATGCAGCCCAAGTTCCTGCTTGTCCACATAATACAAAGCAAGCAATAGAGACAATACCTGTCTTTCCATCGCACTTTTGAAACATGAATTATCAAGTTGACAAAGAGGCACAAATACCTGTGGAACTTCTGTGGTTCATTCCATTTATAGTGCATTGGTGCAGACTATTATGTTTGGCCTGCTGCCCAGGCTGAAAGCAGAGATATGTCAGTGGGGAACTTACGATGTCAACTGCGTGCAATTCCGTGCTTGTGCTTCACGCTCAGCACTCAACACTATTAGAGGAATGTCTCCCCCCTCCCACCCCAGCTTTGGACAGTGACAATACATATTTCCTTAGTTGTTCAATCAGATGCTGCTCTAGGAAGCAAAATGTCAGGTTTCCAAGAATGAATCACGGTGGATGTCTGGATGGCAGAACTTAGGGAACAATTCACAATATCATAACACCTTCCCAAAATGTTCAACTGTCCAAAGTATGCTTGCTTAAATCCAGAAGTGTATGAAAGGGTCTTGTAACCATCAGATATAAATCTGGGTGTGAGAAAGAGTTCTGAAGACCAAGTCATGAAATAAAACCATCCATTAAGGCTACATTTTAAGTATCTGATAGTAGCATTTTGTTACCGTCACCTTTTGACATTCACTGGAAGCGTACACACTATATATTACAGCTTTGAGGGTATCTGTTATTCTATTCATCTACTGCCTGAAAATAAGGCAAGAGTATATACCTAAAGTTCTCCAAAAGTACAACTGTTTTTAGGCTACTTATTGGCCTTGATTCAAAATGTTTTAATTATTAATTTATACAGTGTAAAATTAACCTCATTGATCAGAAAATCCCATTCTTCATAATAACATATCCACGGACATTATTCCCCAAGTTGGGTCCCTTAGGCATGTGATACTACTGTCAATCCCAGTCAGCCATACTTTTTTCCACTGATTAAAACACACCCAAAATTAATATCTGGCTGCATATTTAGGAAAAAATGACCATGAACCTGACTGTTGGGGAGCTTGTCCAGCAGCATAGAAAATGCCTGAAAAACTGATGCGTTTGAAACACACTACATATTACTGTCCTCTGAGGAAGGGCAGCGAAGATGCACATGGGCACATTAGATTTTAATTTGCTACAGGCTTCTTAAGGGTGCAATCCTATGCAAGCCCTTTTCCTTGCGAAGCAAGCATAGGATTTCACCCAATATGTACAGATATGAATATCATAAGCTTGAGCAAGTGTAGAAGGAAGACACCTGTCCATAGCCAACACTGTACTGGGAAATGTGTTTGGCCGTCCCACTCCATTTCCATTTGTGACTCAAGCCTGAACAGCTTT